ATTTTGCCGTTACTAATGTTTATAACATTATAGTAATTATAATATTTATAATAAAAATAAAACCATCAATACTCATAGCATCAGTAAAAAATATGTTTTTCCAATTCAAGGAAAGGTGAAATCAGGTAAGGTCACAAGGTCTACTAATTGAGTCCTTTGTGGCTAAGCACTAGCAGAGTCATCTTTGTGCAGAGACATTTCACAAAAATATAGAAAATGAGCACAGCATTTTCCCAATTTTTTTTTTTTTTTTTTTTTTTTTTTTTTTTTCATTATTCCCTCTGGCATTGGGTTAATAGGTAGATTATTTTGATTTAACCCCTTCGATATGGATGACGCGACCATCACGCCATGAAAAAATCCAGGTCAAGGGGAGGTTGATGTGAACTTACCATCATGGGAAAATCTGGCTGTAGGCCAGGTGACGCCAACCTGCCATCATGAGCATTGCAGCTGGAGGCCAGGGTGATGGAAAAGACTCACCATGAATGCACAGACCTATTTGGAAATTTATTTTGCTCATATGGCAATTTTGCATTCTTCCCATTGATGTGTGAGTGTGGAATTAAATGTCCATGAGCGGTGACTCAAAGAGCATCGGCTCCATGGAGGACACCATTCCTTGCTCAGCATCGTATTCCTGGTACTGTTAGTGGCAACACAGGTTGTTTTACAGAAAATTCTAAAAATGACAAAAATAACATAGTGTTACTTAGCTTTACTTTTCTTGCATTGAGTTGTAGACTACCCTGAGAGGTGATTGGAGCCTGTGCAAAGATAAAAACTATTACCATCTGGATAATGCAAATTAAATGGCATGTACAGACATTGGAAAATGGCCAAAAAGCTAAAACCTCTTTATGTGTAAAAAGAGTAACTAACTTTGCAAATAGAAGGCATAGAGTCATGCCATCACACACGTGTTTGCATGGGCCCAGCCTATAAGCAGCACCCAGCAGAGTGGATGCCCACGTAAACCTAATACCTGAATCTAAGGTGATGTGATTGCTGTGATGGAACCAAATCCAGTGGGTTATGGATCCTTTACCCATTCGCCACACGTGGCAAGAATAGATGCCACGTTTATTTATTGTATTTACACATAGATGGCTCCACAAGTTTTTAATCACCAAATAGCCAGTTATCAAGAACTACCTATTTCACCTGTTTACCCTTTTCCTTCACTTTAGGAAAGGGTTTTTTGTATCATTTCATAGTCAAAAATATTCTAATGACAATTCAATAACCATAACATCAATAACAATAATAATAGTATCGAAAACAATGGTATTAGTTTTCCCGCCAGTTCAATGAATGGGAAAATCAGGGTCGGTAACTAGGGTCTACTGATAGACTCCTTGCCGGCTGAGCACATGTGGAGTCATCTGTATGTAACAAAATTCATCAAAAACTACAGGGGACCGAACATAATTCCGTGGCGAATGGGTTAACCCATTGCCGCCGGGGAAAATTAACAGAAAATGGGGGAAATGCAGTACTCATTTTTTTAATTTTTGTGAAATATATCTGTCCATAGATGGCTTTGCTAGTCCTGATTTCACCTTTCCTTGAATTGGTGGGAAAAAAGTATTTTTAATAGTGCTATAAATATAGATGGTATTATTTTTAACAGCAAATTAGGATAACGTTAAATATTTTCGTAAATCGATGAAAAGGGTGAACGGGCAAGATAGGCTGTACTCGTAATTGGCTCATTGGATACTTAGTACAAGTGTAGCCATCTATGTGTAAAAACAATCGAACAAGTCGACTCACAGTGGGCATGGCATGTACGTACATGCCATCCCCGGCGGCAATGGGTTAACCCACAAAACAAGGAATGGATGAGGTGCAAGCACCTCTATATATACCGGAAAATTCCCTCACTAACCTGGTGGGTAACATGGAACCAACCTAGGTCACATGTCACATAACATGACCAACCATGTCATAACCTAGTGTACTGACAGAACTTCCTTATGTAACATCATTTATTGCTACATGGAAGTAAGATGGCAGCTGTAAAGTGGCATCTCTTGAAAGTAAATATGGTAACTGTAATGACTGCAATCACTGCCTCGGCTGCATGACATCACTTCATAACATAAGTCTTTCTGATGTCATTTCATCTGCCTACCTGCCTTTCTGTCTGGCTATCAGTCAATCAGTCTCTGTGTCCCTTCTTCCCTCCTCAGTCTCAGCTTTTGTTTTTGTTTTCATTTTGATTTTCTGTGTATTTTGCTCTCATAATTCCCCTACTCCCTCCATCTGTATATGATGTCAAATCCAGGTAAATCTTTATATGACCTCATGACATAACTTGTAGTTACTTGTACAATAAGAAATACTAGACAGATGTTACTGAGGTCTGGCAGAAGGCCAAGAACAATAGCGTCTCACATATGAGGCACCCACAAATGATCACACACACACATACATAACACTGATCTGGAGAAGCATTTGAGAGGTTGATGACTGGCAGAATACATGTCTAAACCCAAAGTCTCCAGAAAAATGTTCACTGTCATACAGTATTCTCTGAAATGTCTTTATATATAGATGGCTCTGCAAATGCTTAGCCACAGAGGAGTGAATTAGTAAAGCTTGTAATGTCACCTGATTTCACCATTCCGTATCCTGTTTTTGCTTGTACTATCAATATGGATGCTGTTATTTTTATTATAGACATTATATTGATTAAGTGTTAATGACATTACTAATATTATTAGATATCAGAAAATATTTTTGAAAATCAAGGAAGAGGATAAATAGGTGGGACAGGTAGTACTCATAATTGGTTCATTGGGGACTTGGTACTTGTGGAGCCATCGTTAAATTAACCCAATGCTGACGTGCATGGCAGGTATGTACATAAAATAACACCATCGATATTCAAAGCATTTGTAAAAGATATGTTTTTCCACCAGTTTAATAAAAGGTGAGATTAGATAAGGTCACATGGTCTACTAATTGACTCCTTTGTGGTTAAGCACTAGCTTAAAAAAAAAAAAAGATAAATTAGGACAGCATTTTCCGCGGTGGCATCTGGTTAAATATATTAAACGTAAGATTTTGTTACATATTTTTTTATATTCATGCATATTTATCACAAAATTATGTTTGAATCTCATAGAAACAGTCAAAAGGAAGGTTTAAGGAAGATTTACCTTTTTGCAATCTTCTTTGTGAGCCTTTGCCCAGGCCTCATGGTTATGGTTAGTCTTGGCACCTTAGTTGGCCTTTTTTTGTAACTGTAGAGGGCTAATGCTCGAAGCAATAGTTCCTCCATTCATTAGCCATTTGCTTGGATAACTTGCAACTGAAGTTTGGAAATATCCACTTTTTTGGCTATTTTCCATTAGCTTAGAGATGTTTCTTGGAGATGAATTGTTGGAAGTGCATGTATTTGCACATAAGAAAAAAAATGGAAACCAAAGCCTGGGAACAATGTTAACTCATTCGTTCTGTCCCCTGTAGTTTTTGGTAAATTTGGTTACTTACAGATGTCACCACATGTGCTCAGCTGGCAAGGAGTGTATCAGTAGGCCCTAGTTACCGATCCTGATTTTCCCATTCATTGAATTGGCGGGAAAATTAATACCATTGCTATCGATACTGTTATGATTATTAAATTGTCATTAGAATATTTTAGACAATGAAATGATACAAAAAAACTTTTCCTAAAGCAAAGGAAAAGGGTAAACAGGTGAAATAGGTAGTTCTTGATAACTGGTTATATGGTGATTAACCCAATGCCGCCGGGGAAAATGAACAAAAAATGGGGAAAATGTTGTGCCCATTTTCTATGTTTTCGTGAAATGTATGCCGATAGATGGCTCTGCTAGCGCCTGATTTGAAATGGCGGGAAAAACGTATTTTTCTCTAGTGCTATGAAAATCGATGGTGTTATGTTAATCGTAAACATTATAATTATCATAATGTTTTTTAACATTAGTAACAGCAAAATAAGATAACCTAAAATATTTCGTAAATCAAAGAAAAGGGTAAACGGGCGGTACTCGTAGTTGGCTCATTGGGGAGTTAGTACAAGTGTTGCCATCTATGCGTAAAAACAATCAAACAAGTACTCATAGTGGGCATAGCACGTACGTACATGTCATACCCGTTGGCATTGGGTTAACCCATTCACGCCGGGCGTCACGTATACGTGACGGGCGCATTGTGAGTTTACTTGTTTAATTGTTTTCACACATAGATGGCTACACTTGTACTTGTACTGCCTGTCTCACTTGTTTACCCTTTTCTTTAATTTACGAAATTATTTTGCATTATCTTATTTTGTTGTTACTAATGTTTATAACATTATAGTAATTATAATGTTTATAATAAAAATAACCATCGATGTTCGTAATACTAGTAAAATACATTTTCCCGCCAATTCAAGTAAAGGTAAAATCAGGTAGGGCACAGCATTTTCCCCATTTTTTGTTCATTTTTACCCAGCGCGAATGGGTTAAAAACTTGTGGAGCCATCTATGTGTAAATACAATAAACAAACATGTATCAAAGTGGGCATGGCATCTATTCTTGCCATGTGGGGTGAATGGGTTAAGGGGTCACATATATATAATTAGATATGTATTATGTATATATATGTATATATACATTATATATAAGGTATGAATATGTACATATATATATATATATATATATATATATATATATATATATATATATATATATATATATATATATATATGATATATATTATATAATATATAATATATATTATATAATATAT